GTGTCAAATCTTTCATATGGATTTTTTTGTAAAAAAAAAAGATGAAAACATTTGCAGATATTTTTACTGGTCTTCCTTTATAAATATGCATTTCTTTAAACATAATTTAAAAGAAGTGTAAGGGAAGTAACCAAAACGTTGTATTTGGATTACCTCCCTTACACTGTTTTAGATTATCTTTATTGTTCATTAACCATTACTTTATACATAATTTAAAAGCAGTGTAAGGGAGATAATTTCAATGATGTATTTGATTTATCTCCCTTACACTGCTTTAAATTATGTTTTGTACTAAAGTATTTGTCCATTAACCAGGACAACCTTGTTTTTCCCCCTTTTTTGCCCCTAATTCCTAAACGGTTTGAGCCATAACCCCCCAAAGCAAATCCTAACCATCCCTTTGTGGTATGGAAACTTGTAGTATAATTTCAGAGAGATCCATACACCGTTCCACAGTTATTGTCTGGAAACTAGAAAATGCTCATTTTTGGCCCCTTTTTGGCCCTTAATTCCTTAACTGTTGGTACCATAACCCCCAAAATCAATCCCAACCTTCCTTTTGTGGTATTTAACCTTATGGTCAAATTTCAAAAAGATCCATTCACTTAAACTAAAGTTAGAGTGCGAAAACCAATATGTATTCGGACGACGACGCCGGACGACGACGACGACGCCAGACGACGACGACGACGACGACGACGACGCCAACGTCATACCAATATACGACCACAAAATTTTTTTGCGGTCGTATAAAAACTGCATTTTACCCTATGTACTATTTTTTAGCCATGTCGGCCATCTTGGTTCTAGGGCAGGGTCATCGGACACATTTTTTAAACTAGATACCCTAATGATGATTGTGGACAAGTTTGGTTGAATTTGTCTTAGTAGTTTCAGAGGAGAAGATTTTTGTAAAAGATTACAAAAATTTACGAAAAATGGTTAAAAATTGACTATAAAGGGCAATAACTCCTTAAGGGGTCAACTGACCATTTTGGTCAAGTTGACTTATTTGTAAATCTTACTTTGCTGAACATTATTGCTGTTTACAGTTTATCTCTATCTATAATAATATTCAAGATAATAACCAAAAACGGCAAAATCTCCTTAAAATTACCAATTCAGGGGCAGCAACCCAACAACGGGTTGTCAGATTCATCTGAAAATTTCAGGGCAGATAGATCTTGACCTGATAAACAATTTTACCCCATGTCAGATTTGCTCTAAATGCTTTGGTTTCAGAGATATAAGCCAAAATCTACATTTTACCCCTATGTTCTATTTTTAGCCATGGCGGCCATCTTGGTTGGTTGGCCGGGTCACCGGACACATTTTTTAAACTAGATACCCTAATGATGATTCTGGCCAAGTTTGGTCAAATTTGGCCCAGTAGTTTCAGAGGAGAAGATTTTTGTAAAAGTTAACGACGGACGACGACGACGGACGACGGACGCCAAGTGATGAGAAAAGCTCACTCGGCCCTTTGGGCCAGGTGAGCTAAAAATGTGTCCGGTGACCCGGCCAACCAACCAAGATGGCCGCTATGGCTATAAATAGAACATAGGGGTAAAATTGTTTATCAGGTCAAGATCTATCTGCCCTTAAATTTTCAGATGAATCGGACAACCCTTTGTTAGGTTGCTGCCACTGAATTGGTAATTTAATGGAAATTTTGTCATTTTTGGTTATTATCTTGAATATTATTATAGATAGAGATAAACTGTAAACAGCAATAATGTTCAGCAAAGTAAGATCTATAAATAAGTCAACTTGACCAAAATGGTCAGTTGACCCCTTAAGGAGTTATTGCCCTTTATAGTCAATTTTTAACCATTTTTCGTAAATTTTTGTAATCTTTTACAAAAATCTTCTCCTCTGAAACTACTAAGACAAATTTAACCAAACTTGTCCACAATCATCATTAGGGTATCTAGTTTAAAAAATGTGTCCGATGACCCCGCCCGCGAACCAAGATGGCCGACATGGCTAAAAAATAATACATACGGTTATATGCAGTTTTTGGCTCATATCTCTGAAACCAAAGCATTTAGAGCAAATCTGACAAGGAAAAAAATTGTTCATTAGGTCAAGATCTATCTGCCCTGAAATTTTCAGACCAATCAGGCAACATATTGTTGGGTTGCTGCCCCTGAACTGGTAATTTTAAGAAAATTTTGCAGCTTTTGGTTATTACCTTGAATATTATTATAGATAGAGATAAACTGTAAACAGCAATAATGTACAACAAAGTAAGATCTACAAATAAGTCAACATGACCAAAATTGTCAATTGACCCCTTAAGGAGTTATTGCCCTTTATAGTCAATTTTTTACAATTTTCATAAATTTTGTAAATTTTTGTAAATTTTTACAAAATATTTTCCACTGTAACAACTGGGCCAAGTTCATTATAGATAGAGATAATTGTAAGCAGCAAGAATGTTCAGTAAAGTAAGATCTACAAACACATCACCATCACCAAAACACAATTTTGTCATGAATCCATCTATGTCCTTTGTTTTTAATATGCACATAGACCAAGGTGAGCGACACAGGCTCTTTAGAGCCTCTAGTTTAGCCATGTCGGCCATCTTGGTTCGCGGGCGGGGTCATCGGACACATTTTTTAAACTAGATACCCTAATGATGATTGTGGACAACTTTGGTTAAATTTGTCTTAGTAGATTCAGAGGAGTAGATTTTTGTAAAATTTACGAAAAATGGTTAAAAATTGACTATAAAGGGCAATAACTCCTTAAGGGGTCAACTGACTATTTTGGTCAAGTTTGACTTATTTGTAGATCTTACTTTGCTGAACATTATTGCTGTTTACAGTTTATCTAGATCTTTATCTATAATAATATTCAAGATAATAACTAACAAGAGTGCACACGCTGAAATGTCTCGCCTTCTTTACTAATCATTGATATTATGTTGATAGTCCTAAATATAAAGCTTTATTACAACTGTCACATAAACTTAACATTAACCAAGTAAACTAAACATTGACCAATGAACCATGAAAATGAGGTCAAGGTCAGATGAACCATGCTAGGCAGGCATGTACAGCTAACAATTCTTCCATACAACAAATATAGTTGACCTATTGCTTATAGTTTAAGAAAAACAGACGAAAACACAAAAACTTAACACTGAGCAATGAACCTTGAAAATGAGGTCAAGGTCAAATAAAACCTGCGTGACTGACATATAGATCATAAAATATTTCCATACACCAAATATAGTTGAACTATTGCATATAGTATTAGAAAAAAAGACCAAAACTCAAAAACTTAACTTTGACCACTGAACCATGAAAATGAGGTCAAGGTAAGATGACACCTGCCAGCTAGACATGTACACCTTACAATCATTCCATACACCAAATATAGCTGACCTATTGCATGCAGTATTAGAAAAAAAGACCAAAACTCAAAAACTTAACTTTGACCACTGAACCATGAAAATGAGGTCAAGGTCAGATGACACCTGCCAGCTAGACATGTACACCTTACAATCATTCCATACACCAAATATAGTAGACCTATTGCATACAGTATAAGAAAAACAGACCAAAACACAAAAACTTAACTATAACCACTGAACCATGAAAATGAGGTCAAGGTCAGATGACACCTGCCAGTTGGACATGTACACCTTACAGTCCTTCCATACACCGAATATACTAGACCTATTGCTTATAGTATCTGAGATATGGACTTGACCACGAAAACTTAACCTTGTTCACTGATCCATGAAATGAGGTCGAGGTCAAGTGAAAACTGTCTGATGGGCATGAGGACCTTGCAAGGTACGCACATACCAAATATAGTTATCCTATTACTTATAATAAGAGAGAATTTAACATTACAAAAAATCTGAACTTTTTTTTCAAGTAGTCACTGAACCATGAAAATGAGGTCAAGGACATTGGACATGTGACTGACGGAAACTTCGTAACATGAGGCATCCATATACAAAGTATGAAGCATCCAGGTCTTCCATCTTCTAAAATATAAAGCTTTTAAGAAGTTAGCTAACGCCGCCGCCGCCGCCGGATCGCTATCCCTATGTCGAGCTTTCTGCGACAAAAGTCGCAGGCTCGACAAAAACGGCAAAATTTCCTTAAAATTACCAATTCAGGGGCAGCAACCCAACAGGATGTCAGATTCATCTGAAAATTTCAGGGCAGATAGATCTTGACCTGATAAACAATTTTACCCCCATGTCAGATTTGCTCTAAATGCTTTGGTTTCAGAGATATAAGCCAAAATCTACATTTTACACCTATGTTCGATTTTTAGCCATGGCCGCCATCTTGGTTGGTTGGCCGGGTCACCTGACACATTTTTTAAACTAGATACCCAAATGATGATTGTGGCCAAGTTTGGTCAAATTTGGCCCAGTAGTTTCAGAGAAGATTTTTGTAAAAGTTTACGGACGACGGACGCAGGACGATGGACGCAGGACGATGGACGCAGGATGACGGATGACGGACGCCAAGTGATGAGAAAAGATCACAGCCCTTTGGGCCAGGTGAGCTAAAAGTGGCGGATTCCAGTGCTGTAAATTTGAAAAAAAAATTGAAATATGTTTAAATTTGTGGAGAAATAGGTTGTTGATATGGTTTTCAATGGAACTTGAAAGGAGTAGAACACGGGGAATTCATGAATTCACCTTCTATTGAGCGATCGCAGTTGCAAGTGGATTTCGACAATCATTTTGACTTCGATACTGATTTTTTCATAATTATTTTGGTAGTTAAAACATTAAAATGACTGTTATTAAAAGTTAAAATGACTATTTCATGCGGAAAGCAGGTGACCACTGACTGCATTAGACAGGTGACAGCTGAAACGAGTTAAATTATATAGAGAAAATGTTTGGGAGGGTCTGAAAGTGATCGTAAGAGGCAGGTGACTGATGAAACGATGTGACCGTTAAGGCAGGTTTGACAGTAATTTGAATTATTTCGTTTGTTTTCCTGCAAATGAACACACAATTCATTTCATTTCAGTTTTATTTCATATGCATGTAATTCTACATAATGACAGAAGCCATACTCATGTTTGATATTTTGTGATATTTATACAATGCAAAATATTTGTCTGAAGAAGAATTAAGTTTATTCTAATAATGTATATCAATAAATGTACAGAGAACAGCCATTGTATTGGAGGAAAATATATCTCAACTCAAAATGAATTAAACCCTTTTTTTTTAAATATCAAAAATATTATTTTTTTCTAATTAGTAAATGGATTTCAGACTAACAATTGTGATCTTTAGAAAATTCCTGAACACAACCTAATGTGTATCACTTATATTTTTTGTTAGTTTAGAAACATCGACATTAACTGAAACCTCTTCAGATACTTTAAAGATAAAAACAAGTTCCCAGAATATAATCACTTAATAAAAAGTTCTACACTGGCTACAAACTAACTGTCCGAAAAATGCAAAAATTATCACCATGGACTTTTGCTTACATACCATTTGCTGTGTTAGAAAAATTAATTTGTATCTCTAATATACTACAACAATCTTTATGTCTCTTAACGTACTTTTTACAACAAATGTCTTGTATAAATAAGCTTCTTTCAAAACAAGATATTAATTCAATAGAAATCTTGAACTGTTGTATATGTTTTAAATACACATTTAAAATCTGCTTCATTATAATTTGTTTACATCATTTAAACTTTGTCTAAGTCTGTCATAGTGAAACTTCAGAAAAATACAATATTTACAATGAACTTTCATGATAATTATGCTTTAAAAGTTGTTACAGTATAAAACACAAATGAATTAGAGTTTTCATGATTCATAATGTTATACAAAATAATGAGACATTAGGCTAAGTGCATTTATCATAATATATTTGGTATTTCCTACTTTTCTTGGCCTATTAAGAGGATCTGATGTATAGAAAAATATATAAATGCTTCTGAAAAGAAACTCATTTGCTACTTTCATTGGAAATGATATGTATAAATTTACAAAATTCCCAATGGAAATGATTATCAACAATACCTTTAGTGATGTGTACGATATTGTAACATAAATACAAATGTGTTCTCAATTGTCTCATATGAGCCTGAAATTAGCTGAACATTTATTACTTTTGAATATACACTCATGATTGTGAGATTGCTGGTGATGAATTATAAAATATGATATCCATGACAATAACATTAATCTCAGACAGAGCCAATTTGATAATGAAAGTTTATAGAAACCAGTTTAGTACTATAAATACAGAAATTTAATGCATGTATTTATTCATATGAATTATCAAAAAGTTGACTGTATTGTATAATTCAGTAATGCCACTTAGATAGATCTTTGCTGAAATATGTAATTTGGAAATAAAAAAAAAATGATTTTATTCTTTAGTTGATTATGTGTAAGCTTGAGAGTGCTAAAATGGTTCAAATGGAACACTGAAGTTGAAAAATTTCCTTTTAGCAGGAATGTTTTTATATCCATGTCTCATTCTGGGGAAAAAACAGTTGAATAACCTATCAAGAAAGATATTCCATTAAATCCAATCATTGACCACTTCTTGAAGATAAATCAATAAAAACAAAATACTTTTCCAATATATCTAATTCTTAAGGTCAGTAAAGTCGATTGCCTTTTTTTCGAAGCATGGAGGAAAACTGTTAACAAGTCTACTTTCAAATTAAGAAAATCATCCTATTCAACCATTAAAATCTGACCATTCTACACCAAAGATGGAACTAGTACCTACAAAAATTATATTACATTTTATGTCAGAAGTTAAATGTTTTAAAGAAAAATAATGATAACACTCATGTATGGCAAAACTACTGTAGCACAGTTTACAATACATATTTATAATATCTTCAAGCACTACTAGCTTTTGATCATGTATATTTCAAGTTTAATATTCTTTCCTCTTGGACACATCTATATAATCAATTTCAGGCAAAATGGTTCACAAAAAGATCTAGATTACTAAATATAAATAAACTAATATCAAATAACACGAACTCATATATCAATATGGATAACCAAGGATGATTTTAAACATAAAATTATGTGGAAAATGTTAATTTCTGTTATGAATAATAAAAAAAATATCTAACAGAGATTAGAAACAGTCAGACTGCGCCTTTTTTGTTACAACCTCTACCAGTAAAATGTTTACAATGTAAAAAAAATCTGTCAGGTAAAATTATTCTGGTTCCTATTAAAAATCTTGTCTCACAGACAAAAAAATATAGATATATGTATATACAACCTTCTGTAGAGATATAATATTTATATAAAAATTATCACAAACCAAATTTCTTACAAAAAACATGGCAGTTAATATATATATTTCATAAATTAAAAATATTCTGATAAAAATTTCTGAATGATTAATTTATGATAAATCATATGGAAAACACTATCTTTGTACATGTCTGATATGAAAATTTAAGCTGTTTGGGGTTCCCTTAATTTTTGTTTTGTACATTTGACAATGTTTGACAAATTAAACAATACAATAACTAGAAAATGCTAGTCCATTACTTTCTATGTGTTGTTCTTGAAAATTATGGAAATCTTATGTAAAACATAGGAGATATTGCATTATACTTAATATGCATCCCATATCTTCAAGTTCACTAGTTTTCATGTAAATCAGCTATTTTTGTGATTTAATGCCATTGTTTCCCCCTCCAAAATGAATATGATAGTATTTTCTATCTGTTATTTCTTTTAATCATATTGAATCTTTTTTCGTTTTAAATCATTTAAGTTTTTGGAAATAAAACCAGCAAGATCAATTTCAATAGTTTCTTTTTTCTCAAATGACAGCAGTTATCTCCCCTTGAACAGCACTACACCCAAGAATCTGCTCCACCTGGGGGACCACCTCCACCACTTTCTAACATCACATTGTTAGGGCTGACAATATCATCCTCAGGTCGCTTGTGTCCTTTTTTCACTTGTGCATAAAGTGGTTCGTGTCCAGACTGTGGTTCAAGTCGGTCTTGTTGATGTGAAGGATAGTCTTGTGGGCTCTGCAAACCAAAATAAAAGATATGTGAATGGTTGTTGTCTAAATCTGATCTTTTGACCATTTCTTGTCTTTCAGAGATTTAAGAAGAAAATGATGAAACATTGCTTTCTTGTGAAAATATTTTATATTTGGTTATATTTCTTATAAACTTACATATTGTTTGTATAATTAATCATCTAATCTGGACATTTTAGACACAAAATTTTAGAGGAATTTTTTTAATGACATCAAATTCCAGTGCTGTTTATAGATAATTTATTCTTAAGACAAGAAAGGTCACGTCACTAAAACAATGACAGAATTTACCGCAGTAACAGCTTAATCCACCTCAATGATATTTATTTGCAGAAATAGTTTTTTTAACTAAATTTTGTATATTACGAGTTATTTTGATATTATAACTTTAAAGAATAGATAAATAATGCACATGCTGCATACACATGACTGTATGTTAACTGTCTTAACTGTATTAAAAGACTTACTGCTGGTTGTAGATTAGGGAAAAGAGGAACACCACCTACTGGTGGCTTATTTCGTCTGTTGTGTTGTTCTTCAATAGGAGCGTAACTTGGTCCTAAATCAGTCATTGGGATCTCATCCATCTGAAGGTATACAATGTAAATTTAGAGACACATTGCATGTTGAACTGAATTCCTACCTCAAACAATACACAGTTGGTTGTAACTTAAAATAAGATAGGATATGGGAGAGACACAAAGATACAAGTTAACCAAAACTGACTCAGTGGTGTAGTAATCTTTTTTGATAGTGGTAGGTCATGGGTGTTCATTCCCCATTATGGCCATATCAAAGACTTAAAATATGGTTTTTGCTGCATCTCCACCAAGCTTGTGATATTTAGAAGTAAGAGCAGACTAGTCAGCTCAGAGTCCAGATAAAGTGTTGGGGTAGGGTTTTGTGTTTTTCAGAGGAATGTCACCTTGTTAGCTAGCAGCTTCAAATCTGACTAAGTGCGTCAGTCTTGTACATTATTTGTTATCTTCCTGAATATGCATTTAATATTTGCCTGATGGTTTTGAAGCAGCCATCAATCAATAGAGTTGACCAATATCTATTTACCCTGCCTAACAACAAGCACAGTGTTAAGGTATCAGTATATCACATTAAAAATTCCTACATGCATACTTATAGATAGCATTTCCATACAATTCATTAGGAATTCAGAAGTAAACTGGAGAATTGTTAATTTTGAATTTACACCCCTTTTTTCCAATAATAATGTTGTCAGTTACATTATAAGAGTGTTGAAAATAATTTAATTTTAAGCCTTAGTCTGTATTATGACAATTAATTACAACCAATAGATATAAGAAGATGTGGTATGAGTGCCAATGAGACAACTCTTCATCCAAGTCACAATTTGTAAAAGTAAACCATTATAGGTCAAAGTACGGTCTTCAACACGGAGCCTTATTCTTTTACTTTGAACCTATGAAAAAATACTCACCCCTCTCTGTCTGCTGCCTCCATGTTGATATCGCTCTACAATTCAAAATAAACCCAATAAATTAGAAGTATCACAGAAACTATGCAATAAAACAGTAATTTTATACAAATTATAATAGGGTTTAAAAGAATATTTGATATTCAACAAATCTTTCCGTCTTGTGATGATTTTTAAAGTTGCATGTTTAAATGTATTTAAACAAAGTGCAAATATTTGCCTAAACCCATACTAATAGTCAGCTATAAAAAGTCTGTCATGACAAGTTGTGAAATAATTCAAAGAGAAAGTCAACAGCATGATTTAAACATTGTTATGCCATTTGCCACCTCATAGTTACTGACAATGAAACACTCACCAGGCTCCATATTCATGGCAGGATTGCTATGTCCATGGACCATAGTTCCATCCATTCTACCATTCATGTTACTTTTATATGCTGGTAACCTCCCTGCAGATATTGTGTTATCATCATAACCTTGACTGCCTTGAGGACGTCCTAGGGTGTTATAAGGTGTCGTACTAGTAATACCGATTCTATCTGGTTCCCTGAAATCATAATTTAACTTTTAACATAAAGAACTTGTGGGTAATATTGATATCAATCCTACTTCACACTAACTATCTCAATACTACTTCACACTAATCTTTAACAATTTGAATCAATAATTTGAAATTTGCCCCTTCTGAATCAATAAATCTGTATATTAATATGCCATAACAGAGATTAGCTATGGACTTCTAAGCCTAATTGTAGCAATGTTAAGTCCAGACATACTAAGAGACAGAATTTAGATTTTTCTGGAGGAAACAGATAATCTCTCTCATTAAAAGAACAACACAACTAATCATATGTACATTTTATGTTACTTCAGCCTATGGGATTTGTTCTGATTTTTATTTCCAGTTAGGTGTACCAACAAAAAAAAAATTGTGAATTATCTCTCTTTGGCTGCTATGCTTAATATCTATCTGAAATTCTGACTTATATCAATTCTCTAATATCAAATTCTATATATTGAAATTTTTGCTACAACCTGGTATTCAAATTCCTTTCTCAAAGTTTAAAATCTCAAATCAATTAACAATATTCAACTATTTATCATAATAAAAATTTGTAAGGGTTCCGCAGAACCCAGTGTCTCGCCTACTTTTGCTGTTGTCTATGTTTTCAGTGTGATAGGGGAATGCACATAATAGATTTACAGTGAATGAAATATATAAATAAGAAGCTTCTGTCCAACCTTGGTAAAAATCCAGGATGGTTTATGAATCTAATAAATGTTTTAAAAACTTTAACTGCAGTCTGTATATAATGTTAACTTGAGGAAAAACTATGTCCATTTATAAGTAATATACGCAAAAACAGGAAATATATTTTTACAAAATTTCCTTCTAGATACTAGCTTTTGATCATAAACAAGCTTCTGTCCAAGTTTGGTACAAATCTAGGATAGTTTAAGAAAGTTATTAAAATTTTTAAAACTTTAACCACAGAGTGAATGTAATGTTAACTGGCAGAAAAACTAAGTCCATTTATAGGTAAAATACAGATAAACAGGATTTTTTTTTTTTAACAAACTTTACTTCTGGATACTATCTTATGATCATAAACAAGCTTCTGTCCAAGTTTGGTACAAATCCAGGACAGTTTAAGAAAGTTATTAAAATTTCAAAAACTTTAACCACAGAGTGAATATTTGTGGACGCTGCAGCCGCCGCTGACGGAATGTAGGATCGCTATGTCTCGCTTTTGCGACAAAAATTCTTGATTTTGGATACAACCAAACAAATCAATTCAATGAATTACTAAAGCATGATTGATTGGAAATAGCAAAAAAGTCTTTCCACAAAAATAATGCCTTTTATTTTTCATATCCTACCTGCCAGGAGCACAGCCTGCTTTAACATCACTTTCTGTTATTCCCTGCATTGCGTAAACTGGTGTTAGGCTCTTAAATTCCCACATAGAATCTAGTAACTGAAAACCACAAATATATTTTTATATCCATATCATTCAATTTCTAGAGGATAGTTGTCTTATTGGCAATCATACAACATCTTATTTCTATATATAACTTTTTTTCACAATCAATTAAAACATTTCTCAGACGTGAATTCTTCATTAAGCAGGTTCTTATCAACACTTAACAGCCACTTCAGTGATGACAAATATTATCTTACAGACAAATATTTCATATATTACATGTATAAATAAATCTATAACAGTCTGTATCATAAACATACTAGGAGGGGAGCTTACTCTATTATACAGAAGACACTTAGCAGCTATGATTGAAAATTAGGGTAACTAAATATATTACTGGTAGCCTATTTCATCACAGACTGGGTTAAAAAAAAAAAAGACTTAATAGGCCAGATATGATAGAGTAAGTGTTCAGTCTTCATAAAAGTTTGCACTACTTCTGGTCTATGGGAGATAACCTATCTATTTTTCTCAATTCATTTAATTTTAATCAGAAAAGATTTATTTAACAGAATAAGAAATGCACTATCACCATACATTTCCTGGAATTAACAATGTTAAATATTGAATAAAATTTGTAAATACTTAAAAGATTAAAACCATAATAAATTACAGATGAATCTATGTGTGTTGCAAAATAATAATCTCGATAGTGTTTTTACCTTTTTGGCATTTTCTTTGGTTTTACGAGAATATTTTCCATTAACAAATTTTACAAACTTGATCCTAGGTAAACCATTAGCTTCAACCAATGTTCTGAAAGTTATAAAAAAATCTATATATATATATATATCATTCCATGTACTTATTATTACAATCATTACTGTCATAATTATGTCACACTAAGAAAAATCAGACATGTACTTGCAAATCAATTGAACTGTTTTGGATATCTGTTCACATTTCTAGAGGGAATAAGTTAACTATAATCTTTGTAACACATACATTTTAGATCAGAATTGGAATAAATACAACTGAACAAATCTAATCCAACAAAATGGTCAACTTCAACACTTATCAGCTCTACATATTATATTCCTCTTTTTAGAAGTAAATATTTTTTTTAAATAATCGCTAAATTTTTAACAAATAAATTAATAAATCCCTTTAAAACTAAGCATATTCCAACAAAAATAAAGATGCCAACTCCCCATAACTTCTGTATACCAAACATCTTGGTGATATATACATATTTGATAGTTTCCTGCACAAAGTAACATGCATATGTGAAAGTTTGCTGAATAAAATAGAACTTCATTAAAGTACAAGTTCTATTACCTTAGCAAATATATTAATATAATGCACACATGTCTACCTAACATAATCTTTTCCCAGAACAACTTACTTAGCGAAATTTTCATCACATGTAACAATTTCTAGAAGTGTGACAAGTATGGCTGATACTGTTGGATCAGAGACTGCATCAGCACTTCTCTCCTGTGGTAATCTGCTGACTAACTGCTTCATTGCATATGTTCCTGTAAAATAAAAGGTTCAATTTAATTCCCTTTCATCACATATGTACATGCATTTCCATCACATTAATATTTGTTGATTAAAAAACAAAAATGTAATGCACAATAGGTAATAATGCAGAATGATACTTATAAAAATGGGATTCTGGACAGCATTGAGTTTGTTAAAAGGCGTAAACTTTTGGCTTATTTCAAAATATTGTTAATTGAAGTTTATCAAAAGGAAATTTTGATGTATAATCATTCAAACATTGTCCAAGTATAAATGTCTCTTGTACATCAAACTTATATCCATTCTGTTAATGACAGATTAATCCATAATGAGATAATAAAAACACCATTTAACACAAATCTTAAAGACTCCATCACTCTAGAGATCAGTTTCATTGTTAAAAAAAATTCTTTCTGCAATAGGTTTGTTTAATTTTACAGTATTTGTATTTGAGGAATAACCTACCTATTAATGTTTTATTTTTCTCATCAATGGCCAAGTTTCTAAGTGCTAAGGCCACATGACATACTATACTATCTCGGTCTTGTGTCAATAAGTCTACAAAGAATGGTAATCCTTTCTCCTTCCGTACCCATGCTCGCACATCTTCTGCATACTAAAATACAAAATGTCAATCAAATAAAACAATGAAAATGGGATTCAAATGAATTTATTAATTTCATGGATATCAATTTTTGTGTGTGAAAAAGTTCTTGTTGTGAGTATTATTCGTTTCAGGTTTGTGATCATTTGCAACTAAATTAATGTATCCAAATAAAAAGTATTTTGCTTAGGGCTGTTCTAAAACAGCATAAGTGGGACCCAGGCAAGGCACTTCGAAATTCCATCTAGGTGTTATTTTGTACAAAACATGTAAGAGAAAACTTAAAATTGCCTCTATAGATCGTTGCCTACTTTCAAAGTGCCTTCCTGGGTATCTGTATGTTTCAAAAGAACTACCCTTAGTACATGTTCATCTCAAAGAATCTACAAGTATGAGCATCTCAAAAATATTGAGCCTAATCAAGAGTCAACAAATATCAACAAGTATCTTTAGCTACTAGATATAGGTTTAATAAAGTCACACCGTTATTATTTTTTTTTTTTTTTGCTCAAATTATTTGTAAATCAGACTTGCACTTCTTATTTCAACACAAGGGCACACATGAGGTAAGACTTCACTTATTGAAACCCATGTCTGAAAATACCCTGTGAAGAAAGACTCTTAGACATATATTTGCTTACACTCCAGAAACATGCTGTGAGGTTCTGTATGGCTCCAGCTGCTGCCTCTACTGTTACTGGGTTGGACCCATTCTCTAATATACCAAGATATAACTTTATTACATGGGCGTTCCAGAGTCCCTGGTACTCTGTAGCATTCTGCGGTAAAGCAGGGATACCACTGCAATAAAACAAAATCAAATTTCTCTACTAGATACTAGTTACAAATTAATGCAGAGTAAAAATTTTCAATGCATAATGTCCCTTCCTGTTCCATCTATGGAAATGAAACTCAAATTTTGTTCATGGATTCTTAATATGGTTTACACTAAACAATACTGTAAGACTGGAGATTATTTTCTGTACATATTTGTAAGATCCATACAAACAAAATAAATTAGTACTTAACATTGTTTTTTTTTCAAAATTTTTTAATCAAAATTGTACTATACATATGATGTAAGCTTCTGTCTCGAAGGTAAATTCTGAAAAGATTTTTAGCCCCTCCCTTCAATAAGTTTCTTCTTCATGTTCTTGCTATATACAAGAATTTGTGTTTGTTTGTTAGAATTTTCATCAACCAGAGTCTCTAAAGAGGCTGTATTGTTCATATAGATTTAATGCACAATGTCAACTTCGAAGACTACTTTATCTAATTTAGTTTAGAAGCAATTATTCCAACCCTTATACTAGATTTTCAAAAATCATTTATTTCATCTTAAAACCAATCAAACCTGAGAATTGGTGCTTACTATTGTGGGAGCTCCCATTATTTCAGCAGACTGGATTGAAAAGAGAATCATTAAAGATTTGATCTACATTGTAACCTAAATTTGGTAGCAATCGTTCAGTCACATTTTTTTCCATTCTTATTTATTTTTTTGTCAAATTTTGTATTTTTTGGTACAAATGTTTTTTTAGTAAGTGATGACCTCCTTTTGAATTTTTTTATCACTATTATGAATTGGTGCTTACTATTATGGGAGCTCCCATTATTTCAGCAGACTGGATTGAAAAGAGAATCATTAAAGATTTGATCTACATTGTAACCTAAATTTGGTAGCAATCGTTCAGTCACATTTTTTTCCATTCTTATTTATTTTTTTGTCAAATTTTCTATTTTTTGGTACAAATGTTTTTTTTAGTAAGTGATGACCTCCTTTTGTTTTTTTTTATCACTATTATGAATTGGTGCTTACTATTGTAGGAGCTCCCATTATTTCAGCAGACTGGATTGAAAAGAGAATCATTAAAGATTTGATCTACATTGTAACCTAAATTTGGTAGCAATCGTTCAGTCACATTTTTTTCCATTCTTATTTATTTTTTTGTCAAATTTTCTATTTTTTGGTACAAATGTTTTTTTAGTAAGTGATGACCTCCTTTTGAATTTTTTTATCACTATTATGAAGTCATGATAAAATATACAGAATATGCAAGTCTATTCCTTACAAGTAAAAGCTAGGTTGGAACTGGTTCCTTTGTATTAAGTCACATCATTTAATTTTTCTTATTAGTTTCATAATTTTTTTCATAAAATACATTCATTTCAATCTATGCTCTGGTATTATTTTTTTCAGACAATTCTACGTTTCAGCAAAAACATAGAAAATGTATAAACTTTATTTTTCCTGTCACAGATTTAATTGTGACTGATATTTTCTCAGTCCAAAATAAAATATTTGTCGTTTCCAGCTGCCTCCTGACTGACCCTATATTTGATCACCTACAATACTGTATTTTATTGCCTTTCTAAAATCATTTAATAACTGTGTTGTTAGAGTAGACTATGAATCCTATTTTCTGTGTATTATTAGTCAAATTTGTGATAAAATTTGCCAAAATTGATTGAAAATTGCAAAAGTTCCATCATGTTTGTGTGAATCACTGGAAGTGTAGTAAAAATAAGATACAACTGGGTGAAAACATGATTTTTGCAATATTTTGTCAATAAGGGGGAAAATTCCCACCAACCGACCCTAATTTTGTACTCGAGGCAGGTAACAGACATATATTATGTATTTTTTGGGGCGACCTTAAATGTAACCAAATATCATCTTAAATTCCTCTTGAACCAAAGGACATGAAGCCACTCCATTTGCTAACAGTACTGAACTTTGCTAGCCAAGAGTTAAGATTCTGCCCCATCTTTGGCTAGGGAAGATTGATGGATGAACAGATACCGAGTTGATATCATGTTCACTACATTTCAGGTGGATCTCTCACTTCATCTTAGATTTTGTATTAAAAAAAAAACATTTCAAAAGCTGAACTCATTTTTCGATCTTCTGTATGTTTAAAGAAGAAAGATGAAAGATATCAAATGGATGGATATTCAAACTCATAAGTCAAAAAACAAACTAATAATATATGGCAAAAAAACAAAAAAAGACCATAAGACAAATAACAGTATACAAAGTAGAACATACATGACAAAGAAAACTAAAGACTGACACCAAAAAATAGGGGGTGATCTATGGTGCTCTGGAAGGGTAAGCAGATCCTGCTCCACATGTGGCATTCGTCTTGTTGCTTATGAAAGTACAAACCCAGTGTTAATTCTAATTCAGTTGGTCACCTTCCAGGAGAAGAGGAAAGGATGTGCTTACGAAAATTGGAACATATCTGTCACCATCTGTGAAACAGATATTCCTTAACGGTCAACCATCTCAGGATGGTGTCCGTAAAATTTTTAAAGGGATGATTTTGACTTTAAATTCATGTTTGAAGAAAAAATTACATGCCCACTAAAGATGGGTAAAGGGGAGCATCTGGGAATTTTGTCCACTCTGTTCCCATTCAAATCATAGCAAGTTTGGTATGGCAAAATCCAGTGACTGTTGTTTTTCAATACTGACCTTTACCAAGCAATGGATAAACACAGCTAATCTACATCAACCTGTACAAACACAACTATCAAGATTAAATATTATCTAATAAAACTTACTTTTGATTAACATCTGGTTTTTGTTTTGCATTATTTTTACTGGACTGTTGTTTTTTCTTATTTCCACCACCAAAACAACCCGGAGATTCTACAAAATAAATCAATTTTAATAAACATAGAACATCTTACATTTAAAGGATTTATCATATATTTACGGTAAATAAGTGATGATTTTTAACTGCATGGTAAAATCATTTAATTTATGTATATTCCATATTTTAGGAAGTGGTGCTTAACGGCTAATATATAACTATTATGAATTTTTCTGATTTTTATTGCATGTCTGTTTGTCACATTATTCCATTGCAATTCCTTGCCACTCAGTGAATTCCGGAAACTATACTTAACCGATAAGTATAAATGCAGAATTTTGTTAAAATTTTATCATGATTTTAAATTTTTTATCTGTTTTCTGCAATACTTAATGCAAGAAAACTCTTCAACATGTTCAAATTCCATGAAATATATGAAAATCTACTGTTTACAAATATTTAATCATTCTGTCAAATCAAGACATCTTACATTCCATAACAAAAGAATTAAAATTCAAAAAAGCAATTAAAAATTAGACATTTTTAAAATATATGTTTGTGTTTTTGTATACCTTATTAATCATATTTATATTTTAGGGTTATCATGGTTATCAAAAATAGTTTTTAGGTATTAATATCCTATTCTCTAATTTTCATGCTTTTTTCACATTTCTCGATCGGTGTGAGAAAAATGTTTCTCATCTCTAGAAAAAACTTTATTCACAGCGCAAATGATTGGTCGAAATGTACTTATGACGTCAAATTTCCTTGGTTACTTCTGATTTTCCTATTGTGACGTCATGAAAAAAGGCGACCATGCCCGATGACGTAACATATAAAGAACACAACTTTCTGCAAATCTTTGAAAAGGAAGGATAAACTTTGTTTAGATATCATCTAAAAATCCTTAGAGAAACAGATTCCACCACTATAACTCGTGTATTACGATATTTCTCCACTCTCAACAGTTAAATTTTAATTATTTAAAAAGCTCGGCAAACCTCACGCTTTAAATATTAAAATTTAACTGTCTCGAGTGGAGAAATAACATAACACACTTGATCCAGTGGTGGAATTTATACCTATGTAATTTTCATTAGAAAATCTAAATTTTGAGTACAAGATAATTGTCTTTTGTCAATTTAATTATTCAAATTTTCATAAGGCCAAATAAAAAGATGTGTGTGGTTCCAGTTACATCCTCAAAAGAATTTGTTGCAATTTTAGCCGTAGTGGATACTTCTAATGGAAATTCAGATGAAAGAAGTCTGTGAATTTAATTATTGAAATTCAAATTCCACAAAATGGGATCGTTCAAAATTTATTTTACAGAATTGAAAAAAAAGTTCTATGGTCGGGGGTTTTAAATTAGGGTCGATCGGGTAACTGGAACCACACATATATTTTTATTTGGCCTAATAGAATCCATAGTGTGAATGATATGCATGTCTACAATTATAAGTTTATTTGGTGTTAATGTTGTTTGTCGAGAGATCCAACAATGATTGACATTGGTTGCTAATGATCAATTTTTCCAAAATATTGTTTTTAACAGTTTAAGTGCATGTTTCTCCCTTGTAATGTTTGTAACTGGAAGAAAAATTGTCAAAATTCAAATCCAAAACCAGGAATGCTAAATAACAGTGGTAAAATTTGAGCTGGCTTACTGTTTTTTTCAGTTTTTTTTTTTTTCATTGATCCTATAACACTAGGCAATAAAAAAATTGGCTAGGCTACCACTTGAATTCTTTTATTTCCATCTTTGCAACACAAATATCAATAAGATAAAATAATTACTTACCTTTTTTATTAGGTGGTTTTTGCATACGTTTAAGTGTTTGAGTCCTTTTCTTATAAAAATCCTTTTCTGACACTTCTTGAATTCTATATGATAAGTTCCTTAATGCACATGTACAGTTTTCAACTGGTTTATTTTCTTTGTCATGGAAACGTAATGAAATATCTAATGTATATATTAAACAATTTACAAGTTTTGAACATTCACGTAATCGTGTCCTCACATTATATCCTTTATCAGTTCGTTCATCATTTTTTCCAGCAGAACTTAAATTCCTGAAAAAAACAAAAATAGAAAATTTTTAAAATGGCAAAATACCTTTTCATTGAATCTTCCAATACTTGATCTAAATCGGATCTGCATTGATGGCCTTTCTTACAGATTTTATACATTCCAAATTTATAGATTAATTATACTAAATAACAAGCTATTTCAAATGTCCAGATCAGGTCAGTTTCATTAGTGTTGAGACTCTGTAGAATGTTGTAGTTCAAATCCACAAATGTTTGCTAAATAATGTATATGTATGATATACATATATAACTGTACACACATGATCAAATAGGATGATTTGGATGGAGCTCAATATATCAATTTAAGATCATGATGATAAATTTTAAAAGAAACGAAAAACACAAAATACAAAGGTAATCCAGTTTACTAGGTATATCATGCTATGACTAACCTTATGGTAAGTCTTTATTTCCACTATTGAAAGCTGTACTTCCACCTAGATCTTTAGATATTTGTGTTCACGTCAGTTAATAGGTGTCTCATTTGGAATATACCAAATCCCTTTCATTTTAAGTTCCTAATCAGTGTATATATATCTTGTGTTTTAAACTGCTGTGATATCATCATCTATACATACCTAATTATTCCTGTAGCATTCCTGTAAACTGTAGTTAAGAATGAATCTGTTGTTTGTTCCTCCATAGTGCCACGTTTCTCCCATCCAGAGTAAGGTACAATGATTCTACTCACTATATCAGCCAAGCCTTCCTGAATTATCTTTTCCTTTAAATCCTGTCACAAGATATAATTCATAGTGTAAGGGGAAATTCTTTTTTTATATTAAAGCTAATGGTATCTCCCGTATTTTTCTTCCTTCTTTTGATGAACATATCTTTTCTACATGATATTTTAATGCTTGTTAAGCTGTACATGCTATCATTCCTTATTAAATTCTTTGTAACATTATATTGTTAATCAAGTCATTGCAAGTGATCCTATTTCTGATTAAATAATATCTTGATAGAAGAAAACATTTTGACTTCCATGTTTGCTTGAGTTATTTCCCTTTATCCAATACTTATTCATAATAAAATTAAACTCTCGACTAAGAATAAAATTAAAGGAGTTTCAAAAAAACGAACCTTGAGGCTTTAAAAACCACAACACAGATATACAAAATTTCAAAATAATAGAGTTAACTAACTCAAATTTAATAGAGAAAACAGCCAAGATACAATTAATAAATTTGTCTGAAAACATCTAAAAGTTGTTTTCATCACGATCTTCAATGGACTCAATAAATCTTAAAATTTACAATTATTCTTGTATCAAGGGTTCAAGAGTTTACAAAAAGATAATGTCAGACAAAAATCTATGGGAACTATGCATTTCCTTTTGTTTGCAAGCTTGATATATATAGATGCAATTTGTTGAGCATTTTATTTTTTGGTGTTTTTTTAATTCTTCTGTTTTTATTTGTTTGTATGCTTTTTATTTGATACATTTTTGTTATTGTGATATGTTACAGGTAAGCATGTGTTGTTAAGAATTTTTCTTCCAAAAACATACCTCACAAGAGGATAGATTCCATAGAATTCCTGTTACTAATTCTCGCACTTCATTCTCTTGTGTTTTCCGTAACAATCTGATTAGTGCTGTGATTCCTCCAGCATTCTCTATTGCTTTCTGTAATGTACATCAATTCAAAATTATAAATTTATAAAATTCATACTGAACAGCAAAAAACATTTGCAATTTGGATTAAATCTAACCATTTAGGGTAAAGAAGAAAATAAAAAGGCTGATCAATAGCAAACCTTGCTATTATTGTCAACATGAAAAACATCATTAAATGTGCTTTTATTTTTATATGTATTTTATGAGATTGTTGTTTTGTAAAATCAATAAATGTGTTTTTTATTTTAAATGTTTATCATTAGATTATTTTGTGATATTATTTCCCATACCTCTTCCTTTTCCTTCATGTAAAAAAGCATGTTTATTTTATCTTTTGACTGATTAATGTCTTTTACAAATCCCAAGGCCAAGTTTCTAAGCTCCTCAGCCTACTTTATACTGTCCCATAAATCGTTTATAGTTTTTTCATTTATTCATATATATTAATTTGTTACCAATGGTGTTGAATTAAATAGTGAGTTGTTACATGTTTGCCATTTAAAATGAAATACATCCAATTCATTTTTATTAGTACTTTAGTTGTCTTATATTTATCAAAATCTCCCTCTGCTCAAGTTAAATCATCTTAAATGATCACAAACAGATAAACTGACTTATGTTGTTTGTTGATTTCAGCGTCTTACTTTATTTTCTGTCTTTCCACCATATGACATATTCTTCAATGCTCCCAGTGCATTCTTCTGAACTTCTGGGTAATCATTCCTCAATAATTCTACCAATGGTGGGATACCATTCATCCCCCTATAATGGAAATAGTTATTTCAACACATCAAATAATGAAAAATGTTGTACAGAAAAGGGAAAGAGTTGATTTGATTTGATTTTTGGTGTTTTAATAATAATAATAATAATAATCTTTACTTCAAGAGGGTATGCTCAATTAGTACAAACACTATTCTCCCTTGAGGCCCTCACACTCCACTCACAATGCATCACACAATTTCTTCATAACAAAGATAAACATAAGAAAACATAATCAAAATTGATACATAATCGTTTAAATAATTCCTGGATTTTCAAGTAAAAACTTAAAGCAGTTTGTTTTAAAAGTATTTATGTTTGACATGTGTCTTAGTGCTTCTGGTAGTTTATTCCATAAAGTTAGGCCAGAAAATGAAAAAGATCTTCTAAATGTGTTTGTTCTTGCCTTTGGTATATTAAGTAATTGGGTAGTATTTGATCTAAGTTGCATTCCATTTTTATTTGTAACATAGGAGATTTTGTTAGACAAATATTCTGGGACAGATCCATATAAACATTTATGAACATATAAGGCCTTGTGGTAAATTACACGATCATTAAATCGAAGCCATGATATTTTTTAAACATTGTATTAGATGGGGTATCATAAGGAAGTTCAAGAATAATTCTAGCTGCTCGTTTTTGAAGTTTATCTAATCTATTTGTATTTTGGTCACTGGTGTTTCCCCAAATTGTACAACAGTAATCCAAAATAGGGAGAAGATAACCATTAAAGTATAACTTCCGTGTTTCCAGGGGGAGGGATTTCTTTATCCTAGACAAAAGATTTAGCCTGGTACTGATTTTTGTGCACAAAGTGTCAATTTGGGCTGTCCACTCAAGATTTTCATCAATAAAAACACCTAGGAGCTTTTCGCCATTAACATCTCTAATGTGGGAGTTACCAACAGTCAAATTAAGAACATGGTCTGTTTTTGCTAGTTTCTGTCTAGAACCAATAACCATAGATGTAGTTTTTGTTGGATTTATATACATCTTATTTCCCTTGCACCATTCTTCAATTCTGTCTAAATCATTTGTAATGCTGTCCTGGATGGTATTGAGACTACGACCTGTGCAGTGAATGGTAGTATCATCTGCATAGAGGTCTGCTTGAGCTGAGGTTATATGAAGGGGCAAATCATTAATGAACAATAAAAATAAAAGGGGGTCTAATATGGAGCCCCGAGGTACTCCAGATTTTATTTCTAGTGCCCTTGACTTGATTGTCCCATTTTCAACTTGTTGGAATCTATGAGATAGATATGATTTAAACCAGTTACATGATAAATTTGAAATTTTGTAGCACTGCAGTTTTTGAAGAAGGATAATGTGATCTACCAGATCAAATGCTTTTTTAAAATCTAGGAAGATAATACCTATAATTTCTCCATCATCAATGGCTTTCAACCACTGATCAATAAGTTTTAGTAAAGCAGTGTGACAAGAGTGGTGGCTTCTAAATCCAGACTGACTTGCATGAAGGAGCTTATATTTTAATAGGTATCGGTATAGGTGTTTGCAGACATGCTTTTCAAAAATCTTTGAAAGAGTAGGCAAAATAGATACTGGTCTATAGTTGTCGACAGTATCTTTAGGACCCTTTTTATGACTTGGCATGACACAGGCATTTTTAAGCTCAGAAGGAAATATACCAGCAGTGATACTCCTATTTATAATATAAGCTATTGACAGTGAAATAACTTCTGATGATAGTTTAAGTATGTGAGGACTGATCTGATCAATGCCTGTAGCTTTTGCAACATTTAAATTGCTAAGGCAGTCCTTAACTTCTGCAACTATAATCAAGGGGATGTAAAACCAAGTATCTTGAGGTACTTTTGCTGCTACCTCCTCATAAATCTTATTACTATCAAATTTGTATGATTTAGATGTTGATAGGCTATCTTTCGGGGCAATATTTATAAAATGTTTGTTAAAAGCATCAACTATATGCTGAGTTTCTGTGATAACACCATTGTGTATCTTAAGTTGTGATGGAAAAGGAGAACTTTTAGTTTGGTTGAGCCCCTTGACATATTTCCATAATTCTTTTGGATTTTTAGCCTGTTCAATAGATGTTTTATAAAATTTGTTTTTTGCATCATCTATAAGTGATGTGCTTTTGTTCCTCCAGAACCTGTATCTGTCTAGATCATGCTTTTTATGGTAATAATCCCTGTTTTGTTAATGCCACTTTTAAGCACTGCTTTTGGGCTATTTCGTGGCGGCCAGTTTTTATTGGTGGAGGAAGCCGGAGTGCCTGGAGAAAACCACGACCTTCGATAGGAAACATAATCCTAGTCAATAAAGATTGGAGTCGAGTGCACCCGCACGAGCGGGGTTCGAACTTACAACCTCAGTGTTGACTGGCTAGTGATTACAGTAGTAACTACTTAGACCACTCGGCCACCAAGGCCCCTTTTCATTGTTGAAGGCCATAGTTGCCTATAATTGCTTACATCCACTTCATTTGAACTTTGGTGGATGGTTGTCTCATTAGCAATCATACCATATCTCCTTATTTTTATATTCAAAAGAGAGAAAAGAAAAAAACCCAGATGTATTAGGATAGGTGTTCCTAATGTATATTTTTAAACTGCTTCCAACTAAGAACTCATTAAGGTTATTCACATCTGCAGATTTCACACTAACAAATATAGATATTCATACATCTAGCCTTCATACAAAAATTGTTGAAATCCATTTATTTTTACTACATTTCTCATAATCCTTTTTTTCCAACAAAAATGCAAACCTTTTCAAGAAGGAAAAAATTTTGAACTGCTTTTGTCTGAGAACACATTTAGGACTTTCATACAGAAATATGTCGTATTATATTGATAATGTACCCATGTTCTCATAATCCCCCCCTAAGAAATTTCCAATGAATTTCTTTCATTTAGGAACACATTCAAGATACTTGAAGCCTGAATACAAATCTTTATTTCAAAATCCTTCATTTAAAATTTATTCAAAAGTAAAGTTAAGCAGATAGTATACCTTGTTTTAGCTTTGTTGTCCTCATTATGGAAACATATATGTTGGAGATAAGCTGCAGCATTGGCTTTAACATTGTCGTCAGGATGACTTAGTGAGTCAATGACTGTCAGAAGGTCTGGTGCATCATTCTCATTGTAACGACCTGAAATCAAAACAAGAAAAAGTTAGTTAACAGTTTTATTTCAATTATTAATTTATAAAGTTCTACATGTATGTACCTCAAATATTCCTTGTAAAAATGTGGAGAAGATACCAATAGGTTAATCAAACACTGTGACAAAAGTCACACAATATCACGAGCAAAACAAAACATATTCACCTGAAAACAACATGGCTATAACAAAATGTAGGCACGTGTCAAGGAATATTTCAAATACATGTAATTGTCAAATTACAACAGTCCATATATGGTTACCGTTGTACATGCGGATCCAACTGAGCTGACTTTAAAATTCAAACTTCACTACAAATTCTGGTAAACAGAAGCTGAGAGGCAAAAGAAAATGATAGGCAGGGAATAGGGAACAGACAGGTTTATTGGGATGCAAGCTAATATAAGTAATGATAAGACTTGAAGACTATGATGAATAAAATTAATTGTTGTATCTGAAAGGAACAGTTTTTTTTTATAAAAAAGAATACTTTTTGGAACATGTCAGGTGATAAATTCACACATCATCAAGTCATTCTTGGGCACTATACAAGTTTTCTTGAAGTAAAATACTTCAACTGCTAAAGTAAATAAAGTGAAATAGGGAATGACCTCTAAAGTTCTGATAACATTTTAATAGTACATCCATTTAAATATATTCCTCCCATGCAATATTTAAACTTTTATCTCTGTACATATCTTACAGATTAAATCCCCATTTAAATCTCTAATCATAAATGGTCAGTTGTATACTATCGTAACCTATATAATTAGGTGAAGCTACCTATTTATTCTAAGGAAATCTTATCAACAATCCACACAAGTTTCCCCTTTCATTAGCCCCTGTCCACACCTGGTTCTTATCCAGGTAATATGGAATACCTGTGTAATGTCAACATTTGTATTTTGTAAATAAACAAAATTCTTGGTCTGTGCCCTTGGGTAAAAACATGTACTATTACAAATTAATAGTAAATAACTAGTGACAAAATAACTTCTGCAACATTCACCTTATTCCTTAACATGTTTAATTACCCTATATGCAACATTCACCTTATTCCTTGACATGTTTAATTACCCTAGGCCTATATGCAACATTCACCTTATTCCATGACATGTTGTATTACCCTATGCACATCATGCTTCTCAAATTGTAACAAGAAAACATAAACATAGGAATCATGCACTTTTTCATACACATGAAGAAGCAATGATTTCAGAACACGTAATTTAAACAATCTCAGCATTAAAATACAAGAGAAAGGCAGTTCATCTCCTTGCCCATTAAATTTGAAACTTTTAATTAAATTACAAAATTTGATTTTACAAAAGAAATTTTCATACAAAATTTCTTGTAAGCTCTCTCATGCAATAAGGTACAAGAGTATACTTCACACTTTTATATTCAAAAACTTTTTCTGAACACTTTGATGTTAGGTACATTTTGACACTCTTCAATGTTTTGATGTTATTTTTTATCATTTCCTGTGTTCCTCTTACTACTCAAATGTACAAATAGTGTTTTCACAGGGATTTTTTCATAAGTAAGTTAAGTGGAGACATTACCATACACAGATGAGTCTCATTGAAACTTCTTCCTTTAAAAATGACAAGCATGAAAAATAAATATATGTAGAATGTGTACAGAACAAGTCAATAGCAGGAATGCAATATTCTCCAGAACTGCACAAGTGCACTTCTGTAAGAAAATTGTAATGTTAACCTTCTTTAAACATGGTGTTCTTATTACTTTAAATGTTTTGCCACAAAAAATTGTAAATATTCTCTATCTTAGAATATCAATGCACTTGCAAGATTCTACTACAAAAAATTAACCAATATCAGTATAATATAACTTTGCCAAAAACACAGCATGTATTTCTAAAATCAACTCCCAATATTATTACATAAACAACAGGGAAGGTTTATTTACATGATTAAAATAAAACTTTATGTAAATTATTTGTCAATAACAATAAAAATATCTGGTCATCTCTATAGCCTTGGGGAGATTAAACTATTTTATCTGATTTGTAATGACACTAAACTTCGAACATGGTTTACACTCTTATACATCATTTAGACTCTATACAACATATATTCCTTTTTTAATATCCCTTTCTCTTCAGGGTCCTATTTAGACTTGCTACATGTCCCTTCCTAATTTTCTTTATTTTTTAATTTTGCCCCTTTAACAATTTTACTGCTACAACTAAGAGATTACCATTATACTGACATCTGCAGACAAAGGCAATCAGTATACTGGCAGTTTTCAGTAAACATATAAGTTAGTAAGAAAGAAATAAAAGAAAGGGAATTGTAGCAAGTCTAGGGCATACTCCTTTCTCCAAATTTCTATGAAAAATGTATATAACCTAGCTAGCCAGCTTGCCTTCAATTCATATAATATATAACTTCAACAATCTGTGAAAAAACTTTTAAGTACATATAGATTTCAAGCAATATTTTATTCTCAATGGGCTATCCTCCTACCAGTGTCATATCCGTTTATATGGCATTGGTTTCAAATTGCGACTATCAGAATAATGTAACTTGGCCCTGTTTCTTTAATGCTGCTATAAAGAGGAGCATTTGATATGCTTAAGGGAGCATTTATTGAACACTAGTACAGAAAGATGATTCTGCACTTTGCACAACAGAGGAAAACTATAGTATCCCAGGAGAAATTAGCTAAAACAGAAAATGTTCTCTTAATGTAAATACAAAGTAATGCAAACATTTTAACAAGTTTGGAAAGCTGTGGGTTGAAAATTAGGCATTGAATACACAAAATGGTTAGTTACCCTCCATTAAGAATATTGCTGGAGTTTCACCATTTTGAAAATATACAATAAACTGTTGACACAAGAGATATGTCTCGCCTGTCTGCATAAAATTCAGAAAAAAAACCAATCTGATGGACAGCAACATGGTTTATTAATTCAGTCGCTGGACCATTATCTAGTGGGCAGGGCATGAAAATAATCGTCAAACTGATATGTACTGATATTAATGCAATTTTATATAAAATATCATTGATTTATCACAAGTAGTTCTTATCAAACTGACTTAAGCAGAAAACTATACATCGAAAATTGCTCATTAATTCAAAGTCACTGGACCATGACCTAGGGGGCAGGGCCTCAAAAAAGTCGTCAAACTAATATGTACAGATATTAATGCGACTTCATACAAAATATCATTGATCTATCACAAGTAGATCCTATCAAAATAACTTAAGCAGAAAATTTAACATTGAAAATTGCTAGTTAATTCAAAGTCGCTGGACCATGATCTAGCGGGCAGGGCTTGAAAAAAGTCATCAAACTGTTATGTACCGATAGTAATGCAAGTTTATATTAAATATCAATGATCTATCACAAGTAGTTCCTATCAAACTAACTTAAGCAGAAAACTACAATTGTTGACGCTGTCGTTGCAGCTGTCGCCAGAAAAGCAATCCCAATATCTCGCTTTCCGTCACTTTCGTAGCAGGAGAGACAAAAATCCTTAAAAGGTGTACTCAAAGTGAGACACACATTCTCCATGTATATACAAGTACTTTAAAAAGTTTGAAGGCTCTGGGTTGAAAACCTAAGGAGAAGTTGATCATATAAAATTGCCAGCTTGCCAAATATTCTGCAGAGGCAACATTCACAATCACATAACTCTTTTTTTTTCAAAAATAGTATACACTTATTTACCGCCTATGAGGTCAAAAACTTTACTATAGTCCTCATAGCCAGTAAATAGAGGTGTTTTATTATACAGACAGTACAGGAAAATGTTTGCTTCTAATAAACAGTTTTTGAAACAATTAACTGATAAATAATCTTTTTCAGACAATTTAGTAAAAATAGTAAATTTATTTGTCTTAAATTTTATAAAGAAAATACATACTGTACTAGTATGTTGACAGTTAACCTGGCCAGGCTACATATATACCTGTATTATAAGGTTTCTATACTCTTTCTTCTATAATTGGTATTACTTCATTCAACACTAACACATCCCCTTCAATATCAACAAGTCCATTAAAGTATGGTCTTGAAGTATCAATTTGCACCTCATTTTCCTATTATCTGTACTAAGGGTATAATTTCCCCATGTCATCAACAGACTATAAATCAGGACCTCACAATTGTCAATATCATGTGGTATAACGATAATGGTCACAAAATTAATACCAGTTCAATAAAACCGGAGTTCTAAGATTTAAACTATGTAATACATTTTTCACAACTATAAAATTTACTGTACGGATCAAAATTCAATCATTAAAAAAAAAAAGATTTGAATTAAGAGATAAATTGATTTGTTAACTTTATACTGATTATTATCAAATGGGTCTGACTGAAAATATATACAAACAAATCCACTATTTTACAACATGTCAAATGATTTTTAGTAAAGGCTACCCAGCTTTGAAATAAAACAACTTTTGTTACCTTTAATAATCACAAACATATGTCCAAACTATGTTAAAATTCTTTAAAATCATTTTGCCTTCATTCAACTGCAATCTTTATTTGCAGGTGGGGGATATTTTTACCTTAAACTCTGGACTATATTACAAAATTAAAAGTTCTCCAAAATTTAAATTGATTTTAACCTGTTCATTTTCAATTAGAAGCTACTAATTAAAATGAAAGAATGCAAACTATTTCCTTTCATTCATTTTTTTTTTTCCTTTTTGCACTTAAAATATTCCTACACACGACAGGTAAGATTATGTCATTTGAAAATGCAATATGAATGCACAAAGACAAAAGACAATTGTTCAAAAGGTGTCAAGCATGCACTAGTAAACTTTAAACAAAACAAATATGAAATCTACCACCGGTTTATCAAATTGATTGTGGCTATATTTTTTATTGACAAAAACAAACACTTGACAGTAGAAACACTAACTATTTATTAAGATGCATTTTCGGCTTCATTTGTAATTTGGATTCTGCCAGGAATTCAGATTAGCGCGTCAATAATTGTTG